CCCTTTCCGGGACGCGCAAATCTCTGCTCCGGAGTTGCGCCGATTTGGGACAGTCCCGGAGCACCAAAATGAGTGAAATGGCAGGGCTCCGGAGCGCTACAGAGCGCGAAGTGGCAGATTCGCGACATTTGCCCGCCGGAGGTATCCCTTCGACTGTCTGAGGAGTTCTGCAGAATGTCATTTTCGCGGTATTTTGTTTCTTGCATTCCCTTGCGAGATTAGAGCGTGAGCAACGTACGCATTATTCCTTTGTAGAAAATAGAGTTACTGACACTTGCAGTGGTTTCAGTTCTTTCAATCATTCTCCAAATACAAGTTTTGGAGCGTCGTCTTTAAAGCTTAGTTCTCCGAAAAGTAAACAAAAGTAGCTTTTCTATAACTATCGTAAATGCGAGCCTTCTCTACTTTTTTGATCCACACATGTGGATTTAGGTTAGAATTTGATGATTTGAAGATTAAATGAGTTTATTGAATTGCGCTTGTATTTTCGCATTAACTTGATATTTGAAAGCAGCTAAGTTTGTAATCATCTACTATAATAATTCGCAGGCCCCCCCCATCAAGTGTAAACATGTGGCTATGTCCGGCGATGACGTCACCAGTGAAACCGTCTGCCGGCGAGCATGTTTACAACCCCTTAAGGTCCAGAGAGCACCAGACAGTTCTGGAACTTTCTTTGGAAGGTCAATTTCACAAAAAAGTTGAAAACAAAAGAATTCGTCGCAGTTCAATCCATTGAACGATTCACTACCGCCGGCGGGCATATTTACAACCCCTTAGGGTTCAGAGAGCACCAGACAGTTCTGGAACTTTCTTTGAAAGGTCAATTTCACAAAAAGTCGAAAACAAAAGAATTCGTCGCAATTCAATCGCCGGCGGGCATGTTTACAACCCCTTAGGGTTCAGAGATTGCTAGACAGTTCTGAAACTTTCTTTGAAAGGTCAATTTCACAAAAAAAGTCAAAAAAAGAACTCAGACGTCGCAAAGCGAAATAAACAACCTTTTGCCTCCAAAACTGTGCATCACATAGACACCACCTTGCATTACGTATGCTTCGGTCGCCTTTCATGTTAGGTTCACTTCACCCATCAACCGTACCCAAAGTCAAAGTGGTATTCATCCCAACACTCTCTATCCACCATTACTGTTGCATCTTTTGAAGTCTATCCCAAATCTCTTCCTGTTCCAATGGTTGCTCTATCACTTCTATTATCATCGTGTTTACATTCTGAAAGCTCTTCCCTCCATGCTTATTGGTAGCTTTGAGCGCTAGATACGCGGAAATCGGTCTTTTTCTCTCTCCCTCTATGAGTTTTCTCTTCTTTGTGCTTAATTCATTGCTCCAGCAGTGTCTTCATGTTAAAATGGTAAAACAATTTAGGAGATCAATAGCTATCTCAAGAACTGCTGGCTTTGCTTTTAAGCCTTCTTCGTTCTTATATCGTTACCTTCAAATATTGTTTCCAAGTCAAATTCGTTGTGGCACAGAAATGCAGAAATTGTTTTGATCTTCTAAAATCTATCGACCTTGCTGCACTCTGAGATCTGTTTAGTTTCAATCATTGTCTCAGCTCTAAACACTGTTTCCGTGTCAAAGGCGTCGCATAAGACTATATCGTAACCTAACAATCGCTGCATTCTGACTTTTTCTCCAGTCTTAATTTTAGCACTGTAAGATGCACTTTCATCTATCACAAAAAAAATTAAAAACGCTATAGAGTTGCCTATTTCAACGAGTTTCGTTCTTTCAACAATCTAATCCATATATGAACGATTCACTACTGCCGGTGAGCATGTTCACCAGACAGCTCTGGAACTTTCTTAGTTAAATTTCAAAAAAAAAGTCAAAAACAAAAGAATTTGTCGCAATTCAGTCCATATAAGAACGATTCACTACTGCTGGGGGCAAGCCACCCCTTAGGGTTCAGAGAGCACTAGCCAGTTCCGGAACTTTCTTTGAAAGGTCAATTTCACAAAAAAGTCGAAAACAAAAGAATTCAGATGTCGCAAAGCTAAATAAGTAACCTTTTGCCTCAAAAACTGCATCACATAGACACCACCTTGCATTACGTATGCTTCGGTCGCCATTCATGTCAGTTTCACTTCACTCATCAACCGTACTCATTGCTTCAGAGCATCATGAGATAGTCTACGGAGAAACTGAGTGATGATCATCAGTACGTTCTTACATATGAATTTGAGCAAACATCTCTTTGACGGCTGCATATGCTTTTTTAAATGCATAAACCGTAAGCTTTATAGAAATTTGTGTCAAAACAGTAGATCAAAGCATCAACATTAGTAGATGAAATCATAGTTTTGTTTGACGAAAAAACTCGGCCTATGATCATCAGCAAACATTTTCTGGATATGTGTCTAATCATCCGAGAATTTGCTATGTAAAAAAACTTGAGAGCAATTTAAGAAATAAGGATATCTCTATCATCTCTGTAGCAGAGTCCCATAATTTCTGGATAACTTTTGTTGCTTGCGCAGTTAGTCATTGTATGCTGGATTTCATTGAACGTCTGTCAAAAACTCCTAGTTCGTGTTCATTTCCGGACTATCTGTACACAGCATTTTGTCTAGCCAAGAGATTTATACGAAGCACGATGAAAAATTTTGAATGTGCTGTAAAAAATTTTTGCTTCGCGGTATCGCAGTATGTGTAGTTATTGACTATTAACCTTGCATATGCATATACTCATCGATCTCACTCTTATCTTCAAATGTTACGAGTTACGTATCATGTACTCCATTCCGTTACTAGGCACTGAATTTGCATAGTCTAGCGATGGTCGATTATTCATGAATTTTGCTTTGATTATGTTGTAAATTCAAGGTATTTTTACATGAGCGATTGTGCAAATTTTGCAAAAGAGAGTGGTCTTATAGTTTACAAAATAGATCAAACTACAAATTTTGACTCCAAAGTTGCTGCTTTAGTAATAGTGAATCAATTCACGGGTGTAACCTCTAAGAAAAAACCTCATTTCTCAAAAACTTTGCCGGTCAGGTTAATCTATATCAAATTAGCATGAACCGTACGTATGTCGTCGGACATTGTCTGAATAATGCTGGATAAGTTGAAATTTGGAATACATAGCTGAAAGCGCCAGGATGATAGCTTATGAATTGTACATTTTATCCACTTACAAGACCAAAGCGCCGCGTAGCGGCGCTTTGGTCTTGTGGATATATAAATGAATTCGACTTTCCTCCGTGATTTTGAAGCGTTTTGAATCGATAAAATTTTCCCCGTTCACTTATTGCCGTAAAACAGGCTAGAACACACTCTCAAAAATTCCCGATCAAAACTGGACAAAAAGGTCAAAAATTGACTTACAAAGGAAGGATACTTGGTTACCGTGGAGTTTTGGAATGAAACATACATTATTAAGTGCACCTTGAAGCGCTAATTCCAAATCCGCTTTCGGTATTTGCAGCGCTCTCTTCCCAAAGAAGTTATGAACATTTATTGCCGCATGCGCTACAAAAAGCCTCCAAATAAAGCAAAGCTTTACGTCAAGCCCAGGAAAACTGTCTCCGATATATTAGATTCTGGAAAGTCCAGATACTGACGATTTTGACCGCATAGATCTTGTGAAATCAATATGGAAAAAAGTCCATAACTACGTTCAGAGATTCGCACAGCAAATAATAAAATAGATTTGGACACGTTTCGAGGCGCATCTACTGGTATACATCTCACTGTAAAGGGCCAGGTCGCCAAGTATCCTTCCCCTGTTAGTTCCAGCACATCTGGCTGCTGGGAGGAAAATATCGAGGAATGAACATGGAGGTGAACTCCATTTTGCCACATTTAAAATGGACTTATGTAGAGTCGCGAATGTGTAGGGCAAGTAAATGTGCAAGCCATGAATAAAGGCCCAAAAAAGTGATCAAAAGTCCACTCTTTACAGAAAAAGACGCCAAAAGGCATTGATTGCGTAAATGGTCGATTTGCCAAGGTTTTACGAGAGCATTTGATGAGATTTTTGCACAGAAATGTGGCTCACGGTGATTATTGTTCATATGGCGAATACTGGAAACATGATGAACTCTGAAACCTATTCAAATTTGTTTTTTCGTTCTTCTGCAAAACGTTTCATCCACACGAAATCACCGATTTCACATGAAAAAGCCTTCGTAATGAGTAGTTGTTTTTAATTCATTCGCGATAGTCGGCATTGCGCGGTGAGTTTCAGTGTCATTAATGCTGGTATGAGTTAGGCCCCGGACAGACTTCACGCGATTTGATCGTCGCGACTGAATCGCAACGAGACAACTGTTACAACATCATTCCATGCCGATCAACTTGCATTTCGGCTGTGATACTTTTCCACCCCAAAATTTTTGAATGTGAAATGAAAGTGAATGGAAATGTCGGCGATTGAGTCGCGACGAGACAACTGTTACAACATCATTCCATGCCGATCAACTTGCATTCGGTTGTGATACTTTTCCAGACCGAAATTTTTGAATGTGAAATGAAAATGAATGGAAATCTTGGCGATTAGATCGCGACGATTAAGTCGCGTGAAGTTTGACCGGGGCCTAAGGCATACAGATAGTAGACCAGTAGCCTCTGCGAAGCAGAGGTGACGCACTGGTAAATTACAAATTAGAAATTAAAAAAAGGTTTCGATCACTTTCTATCGCGAACAAATAAGAGGAATAACTCAGGCATTCGCCACGTAGTCATACTGTGAGCTGCTTTGCTCTATCAAATAATGCACCACGCATTTTTGAATATTCTTGCCCCTTTTAGGGTGGAGGACATTAGGTCGCCGAAAGAGGCCGGTCCCCGCGGTCATTTGCGACAAATACGCACCCTTGTACATACGCGGACATGCGTTCCTGCAGGGAATCCGCGCGGGACTCTTCCAAATTCGGCGACCTAATGTCCTCCACCCCCCCCCCCTTTTATAGCAGAGGTATTGCTCATTACTTTTGCACAATTTCAACATGACTTATCTGTGTAATTGTCAGTTCACGCACACCTTTATGGTTTCTTGAACATTTCAACCAACAATTCCTCAGCTCTAAATGTATGTAGCGCTGCGGCCTTTACACCTCACAGTTACGTAGCTTATTAGGCCATTTGATTTCTTTGATTTCTTCGCCATTTCCTTCACCTAAATTCACATATATAAAAGCATCTTATATATAAAGCTGAATGTCTGTTTGTATGTATGTCTGTCTGTCTGTCTGTATGTATGTCTGTCTGTGTGTACGTATGTTCCGAATAGAAAATTCCATTTCTGAACCGATCCGGACCAAACTTGGCACACATACACTACGGGCCCCGGCGGGTGTCATAGGCTACTTTTCGTCATCGATCGATATCGATTTTATCGATTTTTTTGCAAAATTTGAGCTACGGGGCTGGGAGTTGGCACAGGGGGGGTAATCGAGCATGCTGATTACGAATACAACATTAGTTTTTAGAATCGTGCATTACTTTTATCGATTTTATCGATTTTTTTGCAAAGTTTGAGCTACGGGGCTGGGATTTGGCACAGGGGGTAATCGAGCACGCTGATCATCCCCGTGGGGGTGATCAGCATGCTCGATTACACCCCCCTGCCAAATTCCAGCCCCCTAGCTTTTTGCAAAAAAATCGATAAAATCGATAAAAGTAATGCACGGTTTCGAAAACTAATATTGTATTTGTAATCAGCATGCTCGATTACCCCCCTGTGCCAAATCCCAGCCCCCGTAGCTCAAACTTTGCAAAAAAATCGATAAAATCGATAAAAGTAATGCACGATTCTAAAAACTAATGTTGTATTCGTAATCAGCATGCTCGATTACCCCCCTGTGCCAACTCCCAGCCCCGTAACTCAAATTTTGCAAAAAATCGATAAAATCGATGTCGATCGATGACGAAAAGTAGCCTATGACACCCGCCGGGGCCCGAAGTGTATGTGTGCCAAGTTTGGTTCGGATCGGTTAAGAAAAGGAATTTTCTATTCGGAACATACGGCGGAGCCGGGTATGCCAGCTAGTTAATTATCAGAAAAGAAAAATAGCAGCATACCATACTACAGTCTGGCACGTCAAACACATGCACAGCTACTGCTAGGTTACCATCGCGGGCTTTGTTGGCATTCACCTTGAACATGCTTTCGATGTAAGGGAGCTTGTTACGCTTCAGCTGTTTTCGAAGCTAAAGAGAGGGGGATTTTTCAGTCACGCAAAAGTAGAGCGTATTTGCCTGTTTTTTTGCCACTCTGATGTATGTCGGTTTCAACCACTCAACATAGGGAAGTTTCATGTAGAGAATTGTAGTAGCCGGCACTTTGGGTGCCTGAGAATCGAGATCTAGATTCAAGAACTCGAAACTTGTAGTAGTCAAAAAAATCACCTCCGAAGTTATAAAGAGTGCCAGAAGTATGATCGTCAGCATCTGGAACAAGAGCAACGCACATGCTTTGTATTTTTAGTCACACTAACAATCAATCACAACTTCTCGCGACAAGGTGGGACATTTCATGACTTCAAAATTGATATCTATAAGAATAACTTAGGTTTTTCATTAGGCAAAAGTGCATTCTATGACATAGTTACTTTATGATAGCTTTGCTACTCCAAGATAAAACACTCATCCATAGCGGTGTAGTTGATAAGCTTGGTTCGTGTTTGAAGCAACAAAAATGGAAAATGGAATTAGATACGAAGCGAAGGGAAAATAAGCAAGGGCTTTATACCAAATGCTTGGATGCAAATGCGATTTCCAGTCGCATATCAAAAAGGAAAGACGTTTATTGTGAGAAAGTACTGAAGTTTCAACGCTGCGCTCTCATTTTTTCAAACTATTAGGTTCCCAACGCATGGAAAGTATAATTTAAAATAAGACAAAAACACATCCTGGTTGACAAAAAATATTGTTTGCCGCAGTCGTTATCAATTCCTTGGTTCATATATCTTAATTTTATCTTTATCACATACACGTAAACGTGTGCCAAGGCCTGTGTGAGTAAAGAAAACATTGTTAGAGTAAGACAGACTAGCCTGTCACCTATCAGCAGAACAAACAAACAGCGAATACGGGCTTCAGATGCTGAGGAAGAAAAATTCCTATTTGAAGAGAGGTCAGGTGATTGGCATTGGGGAATGCCACTGCCACTTTTCTGAGCTGCGTAAAACGTCTGCGATTGGTTCCTGCCAGGTATCCACCAACCTGACACCACCAAGGCTTGGACACACCTGCCTTACTCTGGGAAAGCCATGCATGAAACGCAGCTGTCTACAGTCCCAAGGAGCAGTGCTGTTGCTCATCCGAAAGTGATTGACAAGTCAGCAGAACATGGTTAGTAAACACGATAAACCAAGAAACACGAAAAACATGAAATCGTGAACCGACGTATGTAGTAGGAAAGGGCTTCACGAAAGCAGCTGTCGTAAAAGCGAAGTGGGGATAGCAAAGTCCGAAACACATGAGTCGACAAGCGGGGCTCAGCAAGAAGTAGATCAGAAGCAAGCAGACCTGTAATGAAAACAGACCAGGAACGAGTCAAAAAGGATTGTGATTGGCAAATGTCAACCCTCTCAGTTTCTTTTAAACATATAGCAAATTTACAAGACAATTTCAGCACCGACAAAAGCAAATTTTCGTTATATCAAATTCAGTGGTCACTGCTTCATGCAGTCAATGATGCTATACAATACATCCGACCGGAATCATTCATAAAATAAGTCTTATATAGGAAAAATTTCGCGAGCCACTTTTTCTGACATATGATGTGCTTCAAACTTCGAGACAGCCTTTCTTCCTATAAATGCACAAAAAAAATTATTTTTACTTTCGGCCTTCTTCCCTCATATTATATTTTCCGTTTTGATCATTCCAGCATTGAGAGCACAACTCCTTTTTTGCGACAAATATTTATAAGAAAAACTTTCCTAAAAGATCAAGACAAATCTGAAATATCCTTGTTAGTGGACTGTAGTAGCATGCAATTAACGGCAGTGGGTCGGCAGAATGAGACCCGTGGCAAGACAAGGTCACAGGGTAGGAGCCCCATAATGGGACCTATGGGCCAAAGTTCGATCTTTCTCTGCCACTTCTAACCCCCGAAATTTCAAAGCGAAAGCAGCGCTCATCTCCTGTCCTCTCCGAACCCGCCCATCCCATGGACGAGTGACTTCCACGGTCAGAGCGCCAGCCGCAATGCTATAAGCATGAGGTCCCGCAACGACTCTGCGTCTTCGCCATGACGGGCTTCGCGTTCACTCGTCCATGGGGTGAGGCGGGTTCGGAGAGGACAGGAGATGAGCGCTGCTTTCGCTTTGAAATTTCGGGGGTTAGAAGTGGCAGAGAAAGATCGAATTTTGGCCCATAGGTTCCATTATGGGGGCTCTTACCCTGTGACCTTGTTTTGCCACGGGTCTCATTCTGCCGACGCACTGCCTTTAAGGGCAGTAGATCGGCAGAATGAGAACCGTGGCACCTGTATAGCCTGCAGCGCAGAAGTTCAGTAATGGTCTCTGGAGAAACAACATGATCGTTCTAACTTGTAAAGAAAGCGTACGAAATTTTTACTTCGTTGTTCTTTTTACGCGATCTGCAACAATTAGTCGATCTCACAAAAAACGCTGTTCCGCTTGTTCCGCATGTTTTAGAACTTTTTTCACAGTTTATTATCGTATTATATAAAACTTGTCTGGACTCGGTCAGCACTCTATTAGATGTTTCAAAAGTCCTGTTCTATTCTAAGGTGCCTCGTTTTGACCCAGCTATCTCTTATGCATTACACTTATCCACTTGTTGCAGTGTTAAAAACATCTCCTAAAAGCATTTTCTTGCGAGTAAGGAAGTGATGGGATAATTTACTCGCAATTTTGCTCTCAAAAGATAAAAAGTGCCCTACTTTTCAAATTTGTCTTGGAAGCGAAGACGAATTTCGTTTTTTCACAGCAGCAACAATCTACGTATACTGAGAGTGATGTTTTCAATTTCGTGTCGTCGTATTTGTGATTGTCGAGTAGGAAGAAAAATGAGGACACAACGGACAAGGCGTTTAAGGAGAACTTTCTAACAAAAAAGCTCTCTATAATCTATTATTGGGCGTATTCCCCAGAAAGTGATATACAAAATTCTTGACAGTGTTTTTGATGTTTGTTGATTTGCTACCAGTTGAATCAGTATACATCTACATCACTTTCTGCAGAAAAAACTTTGTTAGAAAATGCGCTGCGTTTTCCATTCATGTTTATGTTTATTGTGTTTGTTCAATATATTGCACAAGAGTAATGTGCTATATACAGGGTGTCCCAAAAAATGTATCGAACGTTTGATCCTTAATATCTCTCTTCCCAAAAAGTCTTTTGCCTTGCTTCAAGTACCGTTTTGTAGTGCTGGCTTCAACTTAGATTTGCATTATAGGACGAATTACCCATCTCTCTTTATTACTGTAGGATTACGGTAGAAACTTGAAACATATGGTGTCAATGTGGTAAGAGCTGCCGTTTCAAAAATTTTCAAAAAAATGTGAAAACTTGTGTAATAGGGTTTTTATGGACGCTGAGTTCAATACTCAACTATTCTAAGATTGCGAAGCTTTTTAAATGGTAACCGCACTTTTCAGGAACATTGAATAAATGGTCGCTACCTCTTTCCTGGCATAACTCTTCAATGAAGCATCATAAAAAGTTGGGAACTTTACAGTTATAATCAGCAACTCTAATTAGCCTAGTGTAAAAGTTTTCGGGCTTTTTTGTTTCCTTTCTGGGGCAAAATATGGCCTTTCATTGCTTAAAACCCTCTTTGAAATTTCTACCGTAATCCTACAGTAATGAAGAGGGATGAGTGATTCGTTCTATAATGCACATCTAAGTTGAAGCCAGCTCTACAAAACGGTACCTGAGGCAAGGCAAAAACTTCTTAGGAAGAGAGATATCAACGATCAAACGTTCGATACATTTTTTTGGGACACCCTGTATAAGGTTAACTCGAAAGTTCTCGGATATTCTCGGACTGAATCTGCTATTTCTCAAAACCTAATGCATGTACATCCGATAGAGATACCGTTCGATAGAGCAAAGCAAGCTCTATAAAATGGCATGCAAAAGTTCGCACCAGCTACAACCCACCGAAGTTTGCATCCAGAATCTGAGTCGTAATGAAGGCTCGAAATATTGGGAAAATCATACCTTCGTTTTTAAAGAAATCCTAGCTCACGCTAATTTCACACCACATCAGACACTCAAATGTACCGTTGTGTATTTTTTCCTCATCCATTTGGGAAAACGAAAGTTCTCGTGCTTATACAAAAACGAACCTGTGTTATCTCCACTCAAGTAATTTTATAGTACAAGCCCTTAGAAGTATAACCGTAAATTTTTGGCTTTCCGCAAGCCCTATTTTTCGAAAAAATATTGATTAGCATGGGACACCTGAGTGAGGAGAGCTCAATCCGGTAATTTTTGGAAAATAGTGCTTGTAGAAAGCTGAAAATTTACGGTTATAATTCAAGGGATTGTACTATACAGCAGTGGCGCCCCCCCCCCCCCGAGAATGGGTCGCGAAATTTTTGAAAGTTACTTATATGGTTATAAAAATGTGCAAACGGCTTGTTCATTTTTGTAAATAATTAAAATAATTTTTAAAAATTTTTAAAAATTCAAATTAGCCTTGTAAAAATTTTTTCGGGGGCGTGGCTGACGCCACGCCCTCTTTTTCTAGATTTTAGGGGTTGGGGACACGCAAAAATTTTGAGAAGCACCCCTAAAATTTTTTCGGAGTGCGTGGCTAACGCCACGCACCTTCATTCAAAAAATTTTTTTGTCGCGCCCCCCCCCCCCCCCGAGCGGAAATCCTGGGTACGCCACTGCTATACAGTTATATGAGAACAGCCTAGGCTCGTTTTGTATAAGTATGAGAACTTTCGTCTCAATTTCTAGATGGGGAAAAAATACAGCAACGGTACATTTGCTCAGAGAATCGCCGGGGCTAGGCGGCCACACAATTTATAGGCAAGCGGGCGCCGAGAAAACAGTCCGCTCAATCCTTGTTCCGCTTGCAGATAATTGAGAGAATGTTAGGCATTCTTTTTGCGTTAAATGTAGGGATTATTCTTAGATTAGTTGCGGCGCAGCGGCCGCATTCCTATGGACTTTTCGCGAGAACATGCAAAAATGTTGGGGGTCGCACGGTCCTTTGTGAGGGGCAGCATAGCTCGTAGGTACCTTTCGCTGAGAGAAGGTACCCAAACTCGGGTAATCATACCATCGATGACAACTCTGTCATGCAGAGTCTCGTCTTTGCTCGGCGTACGCCCGAAACTACGTGCAAAGACTCCGAGCGCCTGCTGAAAGTTTGGCCAGCACTCGCTGTAAGAAACAGAACGCTTGCAGAAAATGCTGTATTGCTGCCCGCTGGCAAAACAAGGAATTATCGCCTTAAGTATTGCCACGCCCCAAAATTCTGCTGACCGCTTGCAGAAAAGCGCGAGTTCAGGGACCGCCTGCCCCCTTCGATTATCTGAGTGAGTGTCTGATATGGTGTG